GTCCGATGCGACGGGTGTAGCCGCATCAGTAAGTTCTTGATACGCCTACAATCTTTAAGAAATGAATGTATTATTGTCCGGATGGAACTGCAGCATGGTTGCTGGAATATTCGGAAATACTTTTAACGTATCCGTGTAATCTCAAAATTATTTCCCCGATTTAATAACAAATTCGAAAATGATACACTGGTCTCACGATTTACATGGCCAGCAAGTAGACGTTTTCAGGAACTAAAAATAATAGTTTATATATTTAAATATAGTTTGTTGAAACATTGTTGCGCAAAATGTAACGGAAATTATTCAATAAATCACGCGATAAGAAGACTCGAATTTTTAAATGTAACATTACTCTTTGTTGTCAATAATCGTTCTCGATGACAGATATTCTATATCGTTCCCTTGTAATTATTTCGATTAAAAAATTTAGAAATAGGATGAATTAGAAAAGAATTTCATTTCATTTTATGACAACTTCTATTTATCTCACGTTTTGTTGCAATTCACGAATATAATTATTATTTTTCACAAAGACCAGCCGTCCTCGTACAACTATTTCTTACAACTAAAAACATTTGTATGAACATAATAATTGTCGTGCGACGATATTTTTCATGTTAATTAATACAGTTATGGTCCCTGGATTTTTCCCTATGTATTATTCGTTGGATCTACAGGGTGTTCCAAAAATGTCTCGCAATCCGGAAATGGCGGGTTCCTCGGATCATTTGAAGTAACTTCTTCCTTTACAAAAATGTTCTCCGAAGCACCGTTAACGAGTTATTAACGAAAAACAGTGACCAATAAGAATCGAGTACGGCTAACGCGAGGTGGCCCAGCCAACCAGCGCACGAAGCCCAGTTCCGCTGATTGGCTCGGTCGCCTCGCGCCAGCCGAGCTCGCCTCTCATTGGTCACTGTTTTTCGTTAATAACTCGTTAACGGTGCCTTGGAGAAAATTTTTGTAAAGGAAAAAGTTGCTTCGAATGACCCGAGGAACCCGCCACTTTCGGATTGCGAGACATTTTTGGGACACCCTGTATAACATCGTGCAGCTAGAGTTCAATTATTTAGCATTTAGGTACTTCGTCGACACAATATCATAATGTTACAGCTGCATTACGTTCCCGGTAATTAGATGAAATCGTCGAAAGCCGAGAGCAATCGTCGCGACAGGATGATTAGTTGCGATCACGGGACTCAATTAAATTCTCCCCGCTGATGCTCGATGACGAGCGTAAAACTAAATTTGCAGCTGGAAAATGCAGATTGCGAAACTTTTGTTCGCGATGACTCGGCCCCGTAATATTTCACGCGGCAGACGATAAGTTGCGCGTTTTGTATACACACGAGCCGAAATAACGTGAATTATATTCAATATCGGTCGCTCGACTTCAACGCACACGCGCCGGCGTGTAATTAAAATGCGCGCGATTTAATCTAACTTCAATGGAGTTTGGATGCGCATTTATACAAGGTGGTTCCGGTAATCGGGACATGGTATTACTTNCCTCGGATCATTTGAAGTAACTTCTTCCTTTACAAAAATGTTCTCCGAAGCACCGTTAACGAGTTATTAACGAAAAACAGTGACCAATAAGAATCGAGTACGGCTAACGCGAGGTGGCCCAGCCAACCAGCGCACGAAGCCCAGTTCCGCTGATTGGCTCGGTCGCCTCGCGCCAGCCGAGCTCGCCTCTCATTGGTCACTGTTTTTCGTTAATAACTCGTTAACGGTGCCTTGGAGAAAATTTTTGTAAAGGAAAAAGTTGCTTCGAATGACCCGAGGAACCCGCCACTTTCGGATTGCGAGACATTTTTGGGACACCCTGTATAACATCGTGCAGCTAGAGTTCAATTATTTAGCATTTAGGTACTTCGTCGACACAATATCATAATGTTACAGCTGCATTACGTTCCCGGTAATTAGATGAAATCGTCGAAAGCCGAGAGCAATCGTCGCGACAGGATGATTAGTTGCGATCACGGGACTCAATTAAATTCTCCCCGCTGATGCTCGATGACGAGCGTAAAACTAAATTTGCAGCTGGAAAATGCAGATTGCGAAACTTTTGTTCGCGATGACTCGGCCCCGTAATATTTCACGCGGCAGACGATAAGTTGCGCGTTTTGTATACACACGAGCCGAAATAACGTGAATTATATTCAATATCGGTCGCTCGACTTCAACGCACACGCGCCGGCGTGTAATTAAAATGCGCGCGATTTAATCTAACTTCAATGGAGTTTGGATGCGCATTTATACAAGGTGGTTCCGGTAATCGGGACATGGTATTACTTTGCCTGCCGGGCGGAGACAGAAAACATCATAAAGGAAAAGTTCGCCGGGCTTAATCGCTTCCAGCTTCCTCGGAGAAAACATCGCTGATGAATACGGCGCTGCAATTGCCGGGTGCAATTGCATACTACCGCATAACTCGAAACTCGAGTAATACGCGAAACGTGCTTGGCTGTTGAAAACACGATAACGGCTTCGGGGATTAAGAAAGAAATCGTGGCATCTTACCATCGTGGATTTCGCGAATGTGAAACTGAATCTGCTGGTTTTTGCAGAGATTTTCGGTTGATATTTGATCGATTAACAAGTGATTCGATACTTTGTCAAGTTAACTTAATATGATTATTATTAATTCATAGCACGGGGAATTTTAAATCTGTATCGTTGTTTTAACAATGTTCTTTTGTAAATTATTTGTATTTTATTTTTGCATCAATGGGTACCTAAATAAAATTGAAGCTATAACACGAATCAATGGTACCGTTTAACAGTTTCATTTTCAAACGTCGGACGACGATTGCGGGGCCATTTTGATTTACCGTATTTGAATCGTCGCTTGATTACTGATTTTTTGGCAATTAAATAAATTGTTGTCACGAACAGCAGTACTTACATTCGCAGCAGAAAGACGGCTCAATGTCTGAACAAAATGACAATATTCTTGCTTAACAAACGCTACACTTCTCATAAATGGTAATAAAACTGAGCAAAGCAGACGAACGTGAAACGCAACAGGTGTCGGAAAAAGCGTGCGAAATATGTCTCCATGGGCTTTCGAAATCGCCCGACAGAGATGCCCGATTGTCGATTTCTATCGAAGAATCGGGAGCCAATTAATTCTGTTCATTTGGTACTGTTCCCTCGAAGCTTCGTTAATATTTAATGTTTAGACTGTGCCTTCGGTTTGTCTTCGAACATTATTAACTTTATATTAATCGAGCAAGACATGTTAAATATTTGTTATTCTTTTACTTTGCTTATTTTATATGAACAAAAAATTTAACCCTTTGCGGACGAAGCCGCTCGACGGGTATTGCGTCGCTGTGGACGACATGTATTGGATATAAAATAAAAATGTTATAAGATATAATTATATTATTATAAGATTATAAATATGTGGAAAACTTTGCTGGTTTCTCTGGTAGTAACACAGAAAGTCAAACTGAAATTCGTTCTGAGCCTACGGTTAAATTAATAAATTTATATTAATAATTAACACTATGCCGTGGAAATTTTAGATTTTAACAAAAATTTCGAAGATGGCGGTAATATAAATTCCTAAAATTAAGATAAATCATCCAAGAATTTTCGTCTGTCACTTGACTGTCACTTGACTCAACATAAAACTCATCATCGCTGCTGCTGATGTCACAAAATGTAACATCCTTCCTGCTTCTTTTAGACATAATGTTATAGTAGGGTAATTTTCATACATAATAGTCCAAATAATAATATATAAATATAATTAACTTCAACGAACGGCAAAAATGCTTGGGCTGCCGTCCGCAAACAGTCGTCCGCAAAGGGTTAACCCTTAGCACTCCGAACCATTCTGGACGTTGCCTACCAGCTACTCGGCGCCACTTTTCGGCAGAAACGGGCATTTACAGACCCTCGTATTATTTAGTATGGTTTTGGAACTAACTAACATATTATAATGATATTGGACTTATATGAATTGGCTGAAATCGAGAAATTTGCAAAAAAATCAATATTTTATTTTTTATAATTTTGTTATTGTTTGTTTTATAATTTTGTTTTGTCGTTGTAATCGCTATCTATGCGAACTCTTTCTCTCGTCGCCTTGTTGCTTGGACGATATCACTATCACTGCTATCAAAACGAAGAAGAAAACCTTCTACATATCTGTAGTAACATTTCTGTGTAACATTTCTAACATATCTGTATAAACGTCTATCTGGAGCTCAACTTCGCTACTACTTGTGTCATGAGACTCATTCGTGTTTGAACGTTTAGCCATTGTTCTAATAAAAAATATGAATAAATACATAGGTTGAAAATTTCTAATTGTTATTACTAACTCACAAGATGATATCTACCAAAAAAAACTTTTACCAAACAATTTATTTACCAAGAGAAGAATCACTTTTCCGATTTTCTCACTAGTTAGATCTATCTATACCGCTCGACGCTTCAAACCAGACTGAGTTCAGCTTTGAAAATCTTTTCCTCCAGATTTTATGATTATAAATCTCACTATACAGTGCGTGCTATGTTCGCATACCGATTTTTCTTCCACAAACTTGTCTTATCACTCTTTTCAAGTGGCGTCATTGAAGTGCTCGGACCGTCGTGAGCACGCCTCTCACGTTCTCGTCAAAACTCGCTGACATTTCTTGTATATATCTTAGTAATTTTACTATATTTTGATTTGATTTCTTGTGCCATTTCAAGAGAAAACTTCAGGAAAACATGCATATCTCAAAAAGTTGCGCTGAAATAACTCAATTCCCCGTAATCACTAATAAACTTTAATGTCCCACGAGAGGGGACATTCGAGTGATATGCTAGAATTACGATGTTCCACGAGAGGGGACAGGGCTATTATAAGGGTTAATATATCTCATTCATCCCACAGTAACTGGATCCACTGCCCTATAAGGAATTATTCTAATGCTTTCTCGATTCTTTCGAATAACCAAGATCGCGCCGTATAATTTCGACGTCTTTCTGTTCCGCAGGCAATACTTATCGCCCTGGTGCTTGGTACTATCATCGTCGGGACCGTGATCGGCAATATTCTGGTCTGCGTTGCCGTGTTTCTCGTTAGGAAGCTGCGAAGACCGTGCAACTACCTGCTGGTGAGCCTGGCAGTTAGTGATCTCTGCGTCGCTCTTCTGGTAATGCCGATGGCGTTGCTCTACGAGATCTCCGGTAATTGGTCCTTCGGCGCAATTATGTGCGACGTTTGGGTTAGCTTCGACGTGCTCAGTTGCACGGCCAGCATCCTGAACCTCTGCATGATCTCCGTCGATCGGTGAGTGGTATCCGTGGTACCACAAGTTTCACGCAAAACTAAAGAAAAATTTCACTGCGTTAGCGTAGGAAGTACAGTAATGTCTCTCTAATCGACGCTCGGATTGTCCAGAAAAATGGACAATTTGGGAAGAGGGGATGCGATTATTATCGAGCCTTGTGGCTCGTTTTTTATGATTACCGATTGTCAACGATTATAAAAACGAGCCGCGAGACTCGAATAACCGCAAATCTCCTCTTCCCAAATTGTCCATTTTTCTGCACAATCTGAGCGTCGATTAGAGAGACATTACTGTAGCGTTTAATCCTGAACGTATGCCGCAAAGTTTCATTTTTGCTATCCGAAGCATTCTTACTCTAGCGAATTCTTTTACCGAAACAATCGTTCACACCTATTTCGTCGTTATAACATATAAATAATGATTCGATTAATTGCGAACTATTTCGTTGATCGCTATTCGCGCGGAAGCGATCAAAATCCTGTTTTCTTGACAGATAATGAAAACATGAACAAGTCGAGGAATAAGTGGAGACTTCGGATGACAATCGGTACAAGCGCGATTTATTTTCACAGTCCGAGAAGTTATTACCGCAAGCTTCACAATGTTTCCTTAGTACGTTATCTAACTAATTGCAAGTTCCGAAGAGTCTATTATCTCAGGTCTCATGCTCAGGAACTGATTGGCTTCTGAACTCTTCAAGTATCTCCCGAAGTTCATCGTGTTACAATGAAAGTTTGCGGAGATAGAAAATGACACTTTGATCATACAAGAAAGATTCGGTTACGAATTAATTGACGCCTGTCTCTCGTTCGCTTACAAAATCTACGCGTGTAAACGTTGTAATTGTCATAATAATGTAGATGAATACGACCGGGGTTTTAAGACAATCGAATTTTTATCATAAAAGTTCACCGTGTAGTTGACATTTCACTGAACTGATAAGGTAGAAGGCAGTAATTCCTGCGAACTACGCCCGAAACTTTGAAAAGCAGTCGTAGAATTAATTGAAAACACCGTGCAGTATTTGACGAGTCGGGGCAAACGGGTGTATTTATTTTGGACCGGACACCAGTTGCTTCACTTAACCAGGGGTCGGGTCTTTATTGAAGTTAGAGTACAAGAAGGAAACGGGGACAAAGGAAACAGATCTTCCGTTTGTACCATGGGACGTGAACCGGCTCTGTTTGATCTGTTCCGTGTTTCGCAAACCGGTTCTGTACAAACTCGTCGTTCTGACGCAGATTTTGTGCCATAACGAAGCCGCTGAAGTACGGGGTGAAAAGAACTCCGCGGAGGATGATCATTTACGTCAGCCTGGTCTGGTTGGGAGCAGCCTGCATCAGTTTGCCGCCGTTGCTGATTATGGGCAACGAGCACACCTACTCGGACACCGGCTCGTCCCACTGCGTCGTCTGCCAAAATTTCTTTTATCAGATCTACGCCACCCTGCTCAGTTTCTACGTGCCTCTCTTCGTCATGATCCAAGTAAGTCTCCACTATTATCTAACATACGGTACGATAAAACTGCACGTTGTTCGTTTGAAATGTACATGCTGTCCCATAATTATGTCAAGAACTGGAAAGGGATGATTCCCGAGATTATTTGAAGTAACTTTTTCCTTAGCGAAAATGCAATCCGCGGCTTTGTATGCGAGTTATTAACGAGAAACAGTGACCAACGCGAGGCGAGCTCGGCTGGCGCGAGGCGGCCGAGCGGCCGAGCCAATGAGCGGTCGAGCCGACGAGCGGCCGAGCCAACGTGCGGCCGAGTCAACGTGCGGCCGAGTCAACGAGCGGCCGAGCCAATGAGCGGCCCAGGCAAGGAGCAGCCGAGCCAACAAGCGCTCATTGGCTCTGCCGCCTCGCGCCAGCTGATTTCGTCTCTCACTGGTTACTGTTTTTCGTTAATAACTCGTAAACGAAGCCGCGGATTGCATTTTCGCTAAGGAAAAAGTTACTTCAAATAACCTCAGGAATCACCCCTTTCCGGATGTCAACATAATTATGGAACGCCTTGTATACTTTTGTCTTAAATAGAAAATGTAAATCCAGAGTGACACGAAACTTTAGACTTTAACACTAGGTTTACGGAACATTAAAAAGAACTATTTCATGTTGCTTCGTAAAAGGGACAAGCATACATTTATTAAAATCTTCCGCGAGTTTTATTATAATTTTAACAAAATTTGATGTTAGAAAAATATATATCAATTCAATGGTCCAAATAAGAAAAACATCATAAAAGAATTTCAAGCTGTCAATTGATACGTTACAAATTATACGATCTGACTGAATGATAGTAATATTTCTTTAATACGTCTTGTTAAGTTCATTATATAATCATATAGTTGCATCAAACGCGTTAAAAGTAATTAAAACGTACTAACTGCATTCTTTGAAGCTGGCGATAGCTAAGTGCGTCGGCGAGCAATCAGAAACACTCTTCGAGCCTTTACCGAAGTTTGATGAACACTGTAAAAGTATTAAAAGTATTTTGAAACTTGAGCTTGGTGTGGATTTCAAAGAATTCGTAATTCGAAGCTTGAAGTGGTTATGGCCGAGATACGAACGATGTTAAGTTAAAATTTTGTAAATCAGAAATTCATCTTTCAGGCGTAGATAATTAAATTTGTAAGAAAATTATTTTTGCTTTGAATATATCTCGAATACAATAGATCACTATTGACAGATTTACTACAATTTTCAAATTGATCTGGATAGCTTGTTTGTCGAATCTTGAGCATTTTTTACCAAGTTGTATCTATAATAATTCTCAATTATTCTCGTCCAATCATTTTTCTTAAATTTTTATATCAATTTTAAAATGTGAATAAAAAATTTGTTATAAAGTACGTAAAGTTGATCGGAGAGGAAACGAAATGATTTGATTTACTTCCGACCGTGATGCAACGACGATATCAACCGATTTTTTGTAGTGGAACCGTTCGAAAAAACGTCAGAAAAAACGTCTCGGTTAGGTCAACAAATCCATTCGAAGCTGCGAGGCGCCAAGCCATTCGTCTTATATCGGGCCACTGCGACCGCGTTCACCGACGATTTCGGCCGAATTTACACGCACACATGCTTCGCTAGCGTGTATGTCCGATGTCCGACCGACCGAAAAACGACTCCACCTTGAAATAACCTCGACATAACCTTAGCCTTAGACTGTGCAGCTTTCAAATTGTTACGATTTTTTAATGAAAGTCAAACACCTTTTATCAAACCGTCTTACCGTAGTTATAAATTATGCACATCTAATTTTCATGCAATAAAGTCCCTTCTAAAGTAGTATCGCCAATAAGCCTTTAAGAATCACCCTGGAAACTTCAAAGTACCCGATAGGGAGTAGCGTCACGAATTGTTAACCCTCATTGAATTAATGGAGATGCCGACAGCGTAAACTTATTAGGGGACTATCGAAATTTAATAATATATCGGCGGACAGCCAAGTTAGTTATCTTAATCGAGTCGGGTCTGATTAATGAGTTAGAGAGTGTATTAGGTTAGCAACCGAACCGTTCGTTGGATATCAAGTATGATATAATGTCTAACTGGTTCTAAAACACATGAAACACTTGTGCTAATTTGCTTCTCCACAAATATATTCATAAACACTGTTTCTATTCATTCCGATTTCTTTCAAGATACCAAGCTCAAACAGTTTTTAATTATTTCCAATTTTCTATAAATATTAGCTGAAAGTTCTTATTCTAACGGCACGACACTTTGCTGAACAATTTTTATAAATTTTTTTTTTATAATTCTCATTTCTCTATAAATACCAGCTAAAAATTTCCATTCCGATGTCGCAACGCTTCTCTAAACAACGTCCATTTTTCATTTTCCTAAAAATACCTGCTCAATTCTTATTTATTCTCACTGCTCCATAAATGGTAACTAAAAATACCCATTTTAATGTCACGACACAAAAGCAAGCAATTTTTAGTTTTCATTTCTCCAAAAATACTTACTCAATTTTAGTTTATTCTGACGTCTCTATAAATACTAGACCTTGCTGAAACCTTGCTAAAAAATGTATATTTTTCGTTTTCACGATAATACCTGGCCAATATTGCTTTATTCTCATTTCTATACGGATACTGGCTAAGAATTACTATTCCGATGTACCAGACACTTTGCTAAATAATTTCTACTTTTCACTTTTGTTCAATATTTGCTTAATTCGAGTTTATTATTACTTCTCTATAAATACTAGCCGAGAATTCCTATTCTGATGTATCGATATTGTACGAATCAATTTCTACAAATTTTCAACTTTCCTGGAAACGGTTCCCCATACGTATTTTATTCTCATTTCTCTAAAAACGCTATCTAAAATTTCAGGATCCGATGTCACGACCACAGTCCCGAAACATTTTCTACTTCTCATTATCCTAAATACTCGCCCGATTATTCATTTATTTTCACGGTAAAATACTTGTTAAACATTTTCCTCTGATTATCCTAAAGCACTTCCGCAAACCGGTTTCGTTTATTCTCGCTGCTATTCAAACACCAGCCAACCACTTCCATTCTCACGCGACCGCAAACATTTGCCAAAACATTTTTTTTTGTCAATCCCGCTCCACGGTAAACATTTGTCGAAGAGTTCTGCTCGAAAATGATTAAATTTCTTCGAATTGTGTCGGTGTTTATACAGCGGTGCCGGACGATCGTTTGCAATTGCAACAGATGTCCCGTGCCGCAGAATACGTCAGCAATTTGCGGCGCACCTTTCCGGATCACCGTGTCACATCGTGTCGCGTTAATCGAAGCAACGCCCGGCGATAAAAGCGAGCCGCGGCGATCAGCGAAGATGATCCGCCGGTGTAGCAATTATTTAGTTGTTACCGCGTCGATTCCCGTGAACGTTCGCGCGGCCGCGAAGAGGTGCACGGCCCGTCGCTTATTTTCAGACACGTTCCGTGTTCTCGCGCCAATTATTTCCGTGGGTGTATTTGCCGCACGCGGAACCTCCAATCAATCGAGACCGGGCACGCCGTGCATCGAGAAAAACAAAATTGTGGACTTTACTGATTGCCTCGCCATGTAACTGGAAATTTCTAGCTTCGGCCAAAGAATTTGAATTACAGCACCGAAAATATGCGTTTCCGTCCATCGTTTCTCTGTGCCTCGGAATTCTATGCCGCGCTCCGGTTGCTTTAATCGATTCACGTTAACCGGGTATTAGTTTTTCTCTATGGCAATCGCGGATTGGATCGTTTGTCCGACTGCTGCAAGTCATTTCCATTTGCGTGAGAGAACCAAGAATAATTCGCTGTAATAGCAATGGAAATGAAACAAATGCCTGTTGGAGCGTTTGTAATTTCTTTACTCCCACGGTTTACGGAGTTTAACGGGCAACGAGAATTTTATCGTTGCACTTTTATATAAATTGAATTAATGCTTGAACAAGGAGAGAAGCGAGAAAGTAATAGATATCTTGTTTTCTTATTTGGACAAGGAATAATTGGACTGGAGAATTGAAACATTCGTTTGCCGGAAGAACGGCGGGCGAGCTCTTCTACGAAGTAATTTTAAGAGATCCGATTTACTTTGGCGATTGTCAATGTTTAAGACAACATCGTTCTATTTTCACGTTATTATGCATTAGGATTTCTCTGGTTTTTGTGGTCGACTATTTACCGTTTTAATGGCTGAGAGAGTCTATACGCTATGAGAATTTGAATCTAAATATTATAAATAGACTGCGGATTATTTTGCATTTATGGCTTGCGCACAGATTTTTATGATGCATGAAAACGTCTATACCGACAATTTTCTATTCCAAACCAATTTTAAACCGAGTATTCTTGTTTTCTTTTTATAATAAGCGATCTTTTAGCTGGCGAACAAAAGTTTTCTTTAATTCCAATATTTGTAAAATGGCGAATGAAAATGAGAATTTGCATAAAGATCCGCAGTTTACTTGTAACTTGTTCATATTTATACATACTTTTGAAAAAATGGATGAGCGGACAACAAAGTTGTAAAGACATTTAAACGATTTAATAATAATATCGTTACATTGTGTTTACGACGTGTTAAAAAGATGCGCTGAAAGAAGAAATACATTTTTACGTAATTTCCATATCTTAACACTTAACAGACGGGTTATCTTTTCTCCGTCTTTCTCGGTTTCCAAGCATTTTTTAAGAGAACTAAATAAACATGTATGTATGGTTTCAAAGCGTTGCAGTTTTATTAAATCGACACTATTTTTGATAACATTTTACAAAGTTATTTATTTACGCGTCCAGTATTAATAAAATATTAATAAAGTATTAATAAAAATTCAAGCAAAAACGAAAATCTACGTGGCCCGTCCATCAATTTGGAAAAGATTTTTATAAAGATCTGCAGTCTAATTTTAATGAAAAATATATTTTTCGACGATTAATAGAATATCAAATTGCTTCATAATTGAATCAATTTAGAAAAATGGGTCTCGTATTCGGCGCCCTTGTCCTATTATTTGGAAAATTGCCTTCTGTCTAACTTTTTGGCAAAAAGGTGCCGCTGGGTGCCGCCTGGAGATAGAGGCGCTTCGCAGTTTGCCGCCGGTCAAACAATGATCGCGCGAATAATGGCGCTCGAACGCAGACAAAGGTGCCGGCGCAAGGTCGGAAGAGCTAAACGAATTAGCCAGTGTCTCGCGTTCTAGCCAAGACCCGTCGCGTTTCAGGTCTACTACAAGATATTCTGCGCGGCGCGGAAGATAGTCCTGGAGGAGAGGAGGGCGCAGAGCCACTTGGAGGCGCACTGCTACCTCGACATAGAGCCCACGGTTCAGCACCACCACCCGGTCCCGGTAAACCGTCAATTAAGCTCCGACATACACGCGACCCACGGAAGCCCTCCCGTGAAACAGCACCGAAGTTCCAGCGCCTCGACGACGGTGAGTAAATGAATCGATTCGACGCCGGCGGACCGTCGCGCGTCCCGACGCGTCGCGTCGCGCGGACCAGATCAGCTCCTAATGTTTGCAAACGGTGCGCGCCGTTGACAAATCATTTCCCGTTCTATCTGTCTCTCTATTTCTCACTCGCTATATCCATCTGCCTCTCGAATCGCCGATGACGAATCGGAAGCGCCAACTCATGCCCATGCTTACGCACGAATCGTTCCATTCGACGCTGAACGGAGCAGATTAGACGCGGTCGACGGTCCCCCTCTGGCAACGAAAGGGCACATTGTAGACCAAGGTTAAATCTCCTCGCAGTATGTACTCAGTGCTGAAAAAACTTCGCAGGTTTTTTTTTCGAGGTAGAACTTCGTTTTCGGAGAAAAATAGGAATTTATGGTAACGCCGCGCTAACGATAAAATAATAAAATAATAACGCTTAATATAACCTAATTTAACTTAATATAACTTAATTAATATAACGCTTGACGAATAAAAACGCTTCTTTAACTATTTACTGTGGATAAATGAATAAATAAATGGAAAATCCACTTATCAGTTTTTCTGCTCTGCGTTTCGACGAATACAAAGATATTCTTTTATTTCTATCTTCTAAATGGCAGCATTGCAGCAGTTTGTAGAACAAGTGTAAAGTTTTGTTGAAAACTGAAAAAATTCTCCTGTTTTAAAGGGGAAATTAAATTAACCCTTTGCACATGAATGGTGACTCTGAGGCGCCACTAAAATTTGTTATATCACGCTTTAAGATAGCTTTTATATTAACAATGTTTAGATTTAAAAAATTGTTAAAGGTGACTGTTGCGCGAGTCCCAAGTGTCAATTTCGTGTGCATAAAATGCATTTTGTCATATAAAATAGAAGTACTAAAAGTTAGAAAAATGATTTTATATTTAGAGTGTTAACATAGCTTCGAGTGCAAAGGGTTAAATTAATAAATTAAATTAAGTTAAATCGTTGGATCTGAAGATTTACGATCGGAAGCAACGAAACAAAATCGGAAGCTTCGAGTGCAAAGGGTTAAATTAATAAATTAAATTAAATTAAATCGTTGGATCTGAAGATTTACGATCGGAAGCGACGGTACAAAATCGAAGGCATCGAGTGCAAAGGGTTAAATTAATAAATTAAATTAAATTAAATCGTTGGATCTGAAGATTTACGATCGGAAGCGACGGTACAAAATCGAAGGCATCGAGTGCAAAGGGTTAAATTAATAAATTAAATTAAATTAAATCGTTGGATCTGAAGATTTACGATCGGAAGCGACGGTACAAAATCGAAGGCATCGAGTGCAAAGGGTTAAATTAATAAATTAAATTAAATTAAATCGTTGGATCTGAAGATTTACAATCGGAAGCTTAGAGTGCAAAAAATTAAATTAATACATTAACTTAAATTAAATCGTTGGATCTGAAGATTTACAATCGGAAGCGACGGTACAAAATCGGAGGCATCGAGTGCAAAGGGTTAAATTAATAAATTGAATTAAATTAAATCGTTGGATCTGAAGATTTACCATCGGAAACGACGGAACAAAATCGGAGGCATCGACAACAATAGATTATCACGGTATAATCGTGAATCCATGTTCCCCGACGTTTCTACAGCTGTAAGGACAAGAGCGGTACACGGTATATAGACATTTTAATGAGCACGATTCCGCGATCGTCGGCCGCAAATTAGTGACGTAACCTCTCCGCAGAAATTTGTCCTGCTGTCGGGAATGTCAAACCCGTTTCCGCATAACGAAACCCCGGGCAACGCACACGACTGGACCGAACGTTTACACCGTGACTGTTTAACGAGCATGATTTTCCAGTCGCCGAATTAGCGTGAACCACGAATTAGCAATGCAAACTTTCACGGAAATCCGCTTTCCGGTTGCTCGTTTCGAGTCCGACTTGCAACGAAACTGTGATCGATAAAACAACGAATCGTTCCGAGCCCCGGTCATCCTCCGGGGCGAACATTATCGGAGGCTGCTGATAATAGAAAATACAAATTCAATCCAATCCAAATCCATTCAATTTGCGCTGGCAAGAAAAATCTTCCTTGCAATCGCGAATATTTTATGAAATATAAATATTTATTCGCGATATAACGTTTGGCGTATTCCTTCCAATTTGGGTTTTTTTCGTTTATTTTTATTGTCGGTTAGATTACTATTTTCGGTTGCAATTGCGAAAATAGTTGTATTTTTACGCGCTGCTCGGGTGAAAAGTTTCTCTTCACCTTCATTGATAAATTGATAAAACTAACGACATAACGGCGAAGCTTTTAAAACAATTTCCATTGTTACTATCTGAACAATTTAGAATGCGTCTTTCTTCAACCTTAAGCAGTGAATACTTCATTGATTCGAGCAATCGATAATGACACACCGATTATTCCTCTCGAAAGAAATAGCAGAATACAGAATGCCCTGGAAAACAGTGGAAACGGTAATGAACAGACCCGTTGAAATACCAACTCTTTTTCGCTAACGAAGCGAGCTACGGATAAAACTTTGTTCTACATTTTCGAATGATTTTATCATGCAAAATGCAGTCCTCCGGCTCGAACCATGGCTCGTGCTTTGTGTGGACAATTTTCAATGCTCGTCGTCGACTTAAATCTTCGCGAAACGTATTTCTTTTCCAGTTACGCTGCAATTTCGTCTCAGTCCTGTTTAGAAACCGTTCCAGTTATGCTTCGGGTAAAAACCATGCTGGACAATGCGATGTTTCCTTTTATGTGCGCGTTTTATTCTCGCCAATCGTTTCAGTTGTTGTCGGCGATAGTAGCTTGACCCTAAAAATGCAATAAGAAATCTTAGGAATTTAGTAAAATCTATATTTTCAGATAGGAACAAAAGTTGAGAAGATTAAAAAATACCAAACAAAAGATTAAACAGCGTATTACACGCGTGAATTAATTTTTCAACGTGAACACTGAACTGCGAATCTTCGTGTAAAATGAAAATGATCTACCTTTAATAATAAAAATATCCTACCTTTAATAATTTGAGTGAGGTGAAAATAATACATAGACGTTTCTGAACTGTTTTAATATTTTTCTGATAAATGCATAAAATCCGCAGTCTAATAATCGCTATTGGCTTTGCCATATTTCGGATGCGTTATCAAAAAATAGTATTAAAACTGTGTCGAAGTTCGTGGCGACTATATTGAAAACTAATAAATATGTATACTAATTTTATTTGGCTATCATACAAGATCTTTTGTATTTTATTTCCATTGTTAAAAATACCTTTATTTAAAAGACACTTATTCGATTAATACGGCATATTTTGTACTATCAATTCTTTTTTTATATTACCTACTAATTTCACTTTCATATGCAGAAGGAGAAGGTTCTCTTGATCTAACCTTTTGACGTTGTTTCGGTCTGTTTCCTAGTCTGTTGAAAGGTTAGTGGACAGAGAATTAATTGCCGCAACTGTGTCCCTGATGCTCGCTAACGAGTCCCCGTATTGTTGTCTGTACCACTTCATTAATATGAATTTATCGCGCGTTCTATTGAGAGATCGATTATGAACAGACGTCGCGGTACCACGCGCGACAGAGTTCGTTAGAATTTCAGTTGACACTGGCAGAACTTCTCCGCATATTTCCTGCGGTGTATAACATTGTAGACGTAGTTAGAGCAACTAAGTTATCTGACCGGCAACTACAAAATTATTGCCTCCGTCGCCTAGTGACGTTATTTTCTAACGAAAGGCTTTGGCGCTCCTGAATAATCGTAATTAATTAAAAATGAAGCGTGATAATTTTCAGAACTTCTATACAGTGTACGCGCGAAACTCTTTAACTATAAATCGAAATATAAATTAAGTTCGAATTATTTAAATTAAAAATAACATCAAACTTGGCGAAGTTCAATCAGTTTCTATATTTCAGCATTTTCCAAGAAATTATCCCATCGACAAATTTAATTAACTCTAGCCAAATTTAAGAAGAGAATCGGATAGACAAATCGACGATAGTTTGTTTTTTTAATTTATTTATTTAATGTCGCATCTGTTTAATAGCATCGACCATTAGTATGTTATCAGTTTTCGAGCATTTTTATACGTTGTGGACACAAAGAGTTCTGCGATCGATCTATAATTATGATAAACTTCAATCCGTGTACAATTGAATTAAAAATTAAGCTGAACATACAGTGAAACAATTCCATCGCCTGGCTATAGCTAGAGCAGAAATTGATTCAGGCACAATATTTGAAAATTTCCGGCGGTCTGAACGATCTTCCGAATTAGAAAACGCGAATCAAGTAGACAAAGAGTTTGACAAAGCTTTGCTTTGCCCTCGTTATCGTCGAATTCTTGGCTCGGTGATGGAACACGTCATAAATTCACTTTCCTGGCGCTTCAGAAAAATGCAGGAAATTCAGAGCGAAATGTCGGAGCAGCTGTGACACTGTCGCCCACTTTTACGGGCTGGACGCTTGAAAAAAAAGGAGAAAAAAATAGGAATTTGTCGCCCCGACACCTCTGGAAGTTGTCACGTCGAAAACAATTCGGATTTTTTTAATTATTCGAAGGACTCTTTGCACCGGCTTTCCTGGGAACGCGCGGCGCGCGAGAATTTCATATTTTCTTGCCTACCTTGTAAATAATTCAACATTTTTTGCAAATTTCCGGACAGTATTTTTTCGTCTGCGAACTCGCCTTGCGACGAGCGCAGTTATTTGTTGCAAAATACCGGAGTCAGGAATATTGGAATGCCGTTTAATTACGAATTACAAGTCACAGCTTATTTGTTCGTACGAATACAATAGATATTACGTTTTACGCCATGAAATGGGCTGTCAAAAAATTATGGATTGAATAAAATTTATTCTTGAATAAAAGAGATACTGCGATGAGCTGGCAAATATTATCTTTTGAGAATTGTGCATATTTAAGTAAGCATATTAAAAAAAATGATCGACACGAAGGTATGCTATACAGGCAGTAACATTTTATGATCTTTCCAAAAATTGTGGAAAATATTTGA